GCTCCGCCGCGTCGCTCCAACCAGGCCCTCCACGTGAACCAGAACCGAGCTCCCCGCGACTGAACATCCCGACCTCAGTCCGCACCTTCACGCCACCTCGCAGCAAGCTCGTCCCAGCCACGCGCCGCCGTCTCCTCCAGATCCGGCGACCAACAGCCCTTCTCACGGCCCTGTTCTCAGCAGTTTCCGGCAAGATTTCACAGCTCAGCCGCGACCCGAACCTCCATCCCGACGAGCAGATCTCCTCCACATGGCCCGCGTCCCGACGAGCAGATCTCCACACGCGAACCAGCCATCTCCGGCGACCTCACTTCTGCCGGCAAGTAGCTCGTCTCCTGTCGCGCGGGTCCAGCAGTGAACAAGCCACCACGAGCCCAGCGGCGAACCACACCCGACCAGCAGCACTCTCGGCCATTTCTAGCTCACCCGCGACCCGGTTCCAACCCCTACCCGCACCGAACCGCGCCCAGTGCCTCAGATCCGTTTCAGCGCACCTCAAACCCGACCCAGCAGTCCAGATCCGTGAGAACCGACCCGGTTGCTGCCCACAGCCCCAAAAATCCGGTCCAAGCAGCCCCTAGTTGGACCGGTCGGACCCGATCGGATTCTTGCTCCATTTTTCTTCCATTTCCCTAGCCCGATCCGTTCTTTTTCGAGCATTTGAGGTATAACGGCTAAAGCTTGATATATATGGAATAATTTGATAATATATATGAGATAAAATAAATGAGATGTTGATTTGAGTTGATTTTGGAAAAATCGGTACATACGAGCTTAAAGCGAATAAATTGATATTTTTCGATAAACGCGTTAAAATGTCGAAATAAATATGATAAATCCTGATTAGCTGACTTGAGGCCTAGGTTTTAATTTGGTTATTTTTGGTGCCCGTTTAGTATGTTAACTGGATTTTTTGAATATGTAGCTGAAATGCCCGATTTTTGATAAATATGATAAAGACCTCGAAATTTTATGCAACTTTCACGAAAAATCTTATAAATGCTGAGTATGACGTGGTTTAAATTTCATAATTTTTAGAGGTTGTTTGGTATGCCTACAATTCGGAACTTTAGCTGCTTTGGTGAAAACCCTTGAATTTATCCGGTTGAGATTTAGCTAAAATCACTAGAAATCACGTTGAACTTAGAGTTTGAGTTTCGACTTGAACTGAGATAGATAGCCGGTTGAGTAGAGAACCCTAGTTCGGCCTTTTCCCGGTCAGTTCGGATGAACTCTGGATCCGGGTAGAAAAAATGTGCGTTGGTTGACGCCGTGTCCATGCGTATGTACCCAGACCACGGTTAGACTGAGTTGCACCAAGTCAGACGAGCACCCGGCCGGCTCAGGTCCAGCCACCGGTCCAGTTTAGCTTAATCGGCCTGGATAGTCTTGACGATTCAAGAATAGCAGTTCGGATTATCGGTTTGAGCGTGAACCGAGTTTCAATATCTTTCCGAACCCAGTCAGATAAGTCAGAACAGTATAAGCTAGTTCAAATAAAATCAGATCAGTCAGATAAGTCAGAACAGTATAAGCTAGTTCAGATAAAATCAGATCAGTCAGATAAGCTAGATCAGATAAATCAGTTAAGCAGACCAGACTTAGAAATATTTCAGAGCAACTCTAGAACGCCTCAAGTCAACAAATCTTTCCAAAATAGCTCAAATCCTCTAAA